GCTTAAAATGTCTACCTGATCTCTGTGAAGGGCTTGGAGCTGTAGTAGCTTCTGAATCCTACATGAAATATGGCTATAGAGGTAACTATCTTGTGACTACAGCTGGTTATTAGATTATTACCTGCATGAAGAAGTTGTCTTAGTTTAACACCAAGCCATTAAAAAGAAAAAAGGAAAGAAATCGATGTTTCCATGAGAGCAACTTCTTAGCTAACACATTAGGAAATCTAAGAAATAACACCTGAACTAGAAGCTGTGAAGAGGCTATGTGCACACAACGCACAAGTCAAAAAAGCCGGAAAGATCACCATCGTTGTTGAAAGTGCAAGCTGCATTCACAGAGATCTCACTGGCAGAGAGACTACATGAGAGGCCGAGGAAGGTAGGTTTGCTCAGGACCAAGAGGAATTGCAAGCTCTAGGTGAGATAAAGGTGCAGGTTTTGTCATCATTTTGGGAAGTCAGACATGCATGGAGAAGGTTTGAAGCTTTAAAATTAAACATTGTGTTTCTACTGCTAGGAAGACACTTTTAGGTCACCGACATCAATGAACAGTCACAAGCAATTGGTCAGAAATTAGTAGCTTATTTCATCAGTGGAAGTGCTAAAAAGTTGCAGCTAGGAGGTCTGGCAGAAGCCTTGACATTAGGCATGTGCATGGTGAGACTGGAGAGGGGAATGTCCCTGCAGCCGTGAAGCCAAACGCTTTCACTAAGTGTCCTGATTTCAGCCGTAACAGCTAATTTTCTTCCTAATAGCTGGTGCAGTGCTGTGTTTTGGCTTTAGTCTGAGAACAGTGCTGATAACACTGCACCCTAGGAATTACTGCAGTAATTCCAAAGCAAGAGCAGTGAATGAACAAATCCTCATTCTTGGCTGTTATCATAGCCCCTGGCTGTATCTGCATTGCTCTTTAGATGCTCCAATAAAGAACTAGAGCACCCTATCTGTCTCTTTTTATGACATTCCATAGTCTATGGCATTTCTTCCATACATCTCTGCAGCATTTCAGTCAAGCCACCCTTAATACCCAGTCAAGGCCCCCTCAGTCTCAACTTACCTGCCTCATGCATATCCTGAAAGCTCACCATGCTTGAGTGTGAGGCTAGACTAGATGACCTCCTGAAGTCATCTATGACCTGAGTTATCCTGTGATCCCATGACCACATTGCAGAGCAGGCCTGCAATCTGATATGTGTGTGGCACAGCAGATTACAGCAGTGTGGCCAGTATCACTGTGGAGGTCAACACAGCCATACTCTGGGTGTATTACTCTTCCGTTCCTGGTGTCCAGGACATAGCAGAGCATCTTCCCCCTTTTTGAGCTCATAGGCAGGATGTGTGATGTCCTACAGTGTCCCCTGAATATGCAGTCACAAAAGGTTTGGTTGTACCTGTGCCTCTCGGTCACTCTATGTGGCCCTTGAGCACCCCAATCAGAATGCCTGACTCTGCGTGTTGTTCTAGGGCTTCCTGGAAGTTCTCTGCCCACCACCCACACCACGTTTTTACTCTCTCAACTGTTGACACAAGATACCAGTCTCCACGATGTCATGATCTTCACCTTCATCTTTATCAGTGCTGTGTGACCCTCTGCAGCCTGCACCCAAATGACCATGGGGAGCTCAGCCACATCCTTAGCTCCTGCCAAGTGTATCTTTGTGTGCCTGAGAGCTGCCTGGGAGATAAGCTGGGTGCAAGAGCTGGGACACCTTCCGCACCAGCCCATCATAGATGTGAGCAGTTGGTGCTGCTCAGCCTTAGACAGGGATGGGACATGGTGGGGAGGGTACTCCATCTATGAGGTGAAACACCAAGGGCCAGGGAAGGACTCTTCTACAGGTCAATTTGTCCAGAGGAAGGCATGCATTGTAAAAATCCTTTCTGGCTGACAAGTGTGAAGCCTTTTCCTGTGGTCAAGGGACAGCAATCTGCATCAGCCTCACACAGAGAAGCTTCTGGCAATAAATTCCTGAAAGCTGGCTCCCATTATACTGCATGTCTGGGACCACTGTCTCCATGAAGGGAGCACAGCCCCAGGAAAGATGTGCAAGCTGATCAGCCCTCTCTTCCCTGCGCCGCCCCTTACTCTGGGGACCAACTCACAGCTGCGAGAAACTCCAGCTGCAAGTACTACAGTCCAGGCTTGGTACATGGAGGCAGAACGTGCAGACAGGACCAATAGCAGCAGCGGGTTTGCCACAGAGATCCCCCTGCCCTGCATGCACCCTGCAGGCCTTGCTTAACCAGGAGCAAAAGCAGCTCACATGAGGCATATGCAGAGAAGAAAGCTCCTCATTGATCACCGGGGCAGTGTGCAATCCTGGAGTCATTCATATTCACTGTACCCAGAAGAGATGGGTCACGATACTGGGAGAAAGGCTGGGAGCATTATCACAAGCCACATGCTGGCCTGGTTTTCTTCTTAAACAAGCTATAAGTCAGACCTCAGATCTCTCTGCCAGCTATTCATGGCAGCAGTTCTGGGCTAAGGGCTATTTGCTCTTCCGCTTGCTAAAGTCTGTGGTATCACAGCCTGCAAAAGAAGGTGCACGAGGCATCTCTCCCTAAAGACAATAAAAACCAAGAGGACTGAGGAAAAATAGAGCTGAAAAAGAGCCCCAGGGCTCTCAGTTACCCCACTGGCCCCATTTCAAGGAACTCTCTGACCCTGTTGGCCTGATTGCCTCTAGTCTATGGGCTCAGCCTTGATGTTGAGGACACAGGGTCGAGCTTCCTACCACTTTGACTGACTGACTTCCTGCAGCCACAGACAGGGGCCCTCAAGGAGGACATTGTTGGACTGACCTGATCAAAGCAGATCTGATCTGATCTGTAGGGGAATGGGTGACCTGAATGAAACAATCCCATTGGATTTTGTAGAAGCCTTCCACTAGGAGGACTCTCAGTGCAACTAAGCGATTTCTGGCAGGCATTTTCTGTGATAGCTGTCCTCCAGCTCTGCATGGTCACTGTTGCTGCATGAGGTACCGCTTGACCTGAGGACTGCTTGCTCCCTCTAATTTACTCCATGGCCTCCAATAGACTTTCTGGCAGTCAAACTTTCACCTGTTGGTCTGCTGGGAAGGGTAGGATGCAGGGTTTCTCCACAGTTCAGGCCCGGATCCACATGTACTGCCCACAGTGATCAGACTGTGCCATCAGTAATGAAACTGTGCAGGGCAACTTGACTGCACTGGGTAAGGGAGGTTAGGGCAGCTATGATTTTCCTGAATATGACAATCTTTTTCACTAGGATGGCAGATGCAGGGCAGGAGTCCATGTATTGCTGTGTCTTTAAGCCTATGTGGTAAAGGAGGGAGTGAACATTTGGTTTTCGGATCAGATACCCAGTGCTTTTCCTCTGGCTTTCCACTTGCGCAGCTAGGGCTACAAGGCTGTGTCCCATAGCTCTCCCTTGTGTTCCTCCACTATGATCCACCAACATGAAGTTATATTGCTCAAAACTGGACTCACTGGTTCCCTTCTTTTGCTGCTCATGGTGGTATTTTTGGGGGTCATCCTGAGGAATAAGAGAATTCTCAGCAAGTTAGACTGAGCAACAAAAATGGTAGCATCATCTGGTGACTCCTTAGCAGAAGGGTCCTTGATGCTAAATGGACTGACTGATGGTGGCTGGTGGTGTGACCTTGGTAGGTGGAGGCATGACATGGGTACCTAGATGAGGTAGGGCTGGTGGTCTAGCCCTAGGTGCAGACAGCTTGCTGCCAGTAAGCAATGATTCTAGCCAAAGAGTGACTATTGCTGCCAGGCTGGTGATGCATCCGTAGCAAGATAAGGCCCACTGTCACATGCACGTGCTGACATGTCACTGCCATCCTCTCTGATGACAGCTGCGAGTTTTCCTTCGAATCTGCTGCAACCTACTGGTGGGTGAGGAGTTATCTGTCTCTTATCAGCTTTCCTGTCTGTGGGCTTCCTGAAAATTTTCATACTCAAAGAAGTATCTTTCTCCATCTCAAGATGGTTGCTCCTGCTCTTGAAAGCATCCTGTAACTTTTTCTCCTCTGCCTGGCACTGCTCTCCAACTTGCATTTCCCCCAGTGACCAATCTGGCCAGGGATCCCTTTGTATCACATGGATACTGCAGCTCTGCTCTATGAAATCATAGCCCTACATTGGATTTCTTTCCCCATACCTCTCCTCCCCATTTAAATGAGAGCTACGTGGGCCCTATAGGGCCCCAGAGCCCCACCTTCAGATGTCAGGTGATGCAGAGATGTAATTGAGAGGACCCTGTGTCCTACCCACAGTGCCTAGCTTTTGAAGAGACAAGCTGTGTTTGAAGGGATAAGGAAGGCTGGTAAAGTATCATGGCCCACATTGCTCTACACTTCTGGATACATGTTGGTGTTCCAGCAGTGCTGTTGCCATGCACAGCATATCTGTTGTGGTCACACAGATATGGAGGTGTCCTAAACGTTGCTGAAGTGGGCTGGGTGCTTCTGAAAGGCCAGCTTCTGGTATGTGCTGGGTGCTCTCAGGTCTGTGTGCCCAAGGGAGATCAGGGAGGTTGGTTGCTCCCACCCCGCAGGGGCAGCTGAACTAGCTTGATGGCAAGGTGGGAACTGCTTTACCTCCATCCCTTGGACAGGGAGATATTAAGGGCAGAGGGAAACAAAACCCCACATTATCACTTATTGCATGGGTTTGGGCGTGTGGTCCGGTAGGGTGAACCTAGATAGACCTGAGCCTAATCAGGTTCAGGTCTGCTATGCACCTTTGTGAGGAGTTGGCAATTGGCTTGCTTGTCCATTTGTGAAATGGGGCTAACACTGCTTACCTTTGTTTTCAGTATGTTTCAGGTCTCAGCATGAAATATATTATGCAAACGAGGGAGGTTTCTGGTGTTATTTCTTAGCAATGAGCAGCAGACCTTGAATTTTGACCTTTACATGTTGTTGGAGGGTTGTTTTTTTTTGTTGTTGTTGTTGTTTTTTGTTGGGTTTTTTAATGACTCTCCGTACTCGCCTCACCAGGCCTGAACTGAGTGGACTGGTCGCAACTGAAGGTCAGAATCATTTTCCTGCCAACTCTAACTATGTAAGTACGGGGTTGAGCAGCGCTGGAGGGGGGTATATTTATGGGCATGCAGATGATCTACCATTTGGACGCGTTTCTGCTGGTAGGTGGAGGGATGGAAGTACAGCTCTGTGGGGACACTGTGTGGTCGCTGCAGAAAACGGCACCCGGTATGGGTGAGCTGAGCCCGTGGCTTGCTTTCTCCTTAGCTGCGTGTAGGCAGAGCGCAAGAGCAAAGACCAACGTGCGTGTCACCGTGGGCGAGTAAGCATGAAGTGCCAACTTGTATGGTTATCTGGCCCTCGCCGCCAGCCTGTTGGGTGGCCAAGCTCAAATGCTGACCAGGTTGCAAAGAGTTAAAATACTGATTCAGTTTTCTGCACTGAGTCCTGGCTGTCCTCAATGTGCTCAGCTGGATGCAGAGGAAAGGCTAAGTGCGTCTCAGCCAGTGTAAATCACGCCTCCTTCTGCCTATCTCCATCTGTAAATGATACCAGCCTAGGCTCGGCTGCCTCCTGAGTAACCCCACGTGTACAAGCATCTCTCTGTGAGCATTAACCTAACCAGGAGAGTTATTCCTATGCTCTCCTCTATACACTGCAGTGTTCCCAGCAAGCTTGTACAGCTGCAGCTGCCCTTCTACAGGAGTTTCTTCAGTGCATTGCAGTCTCCTAAATTCAGGCTCCATTTCAATGGATACCTCATACATAGACTATGTATGCACCAAACCTGAAGTTCAGTGACTGATTCCCTACAGCGTATCATCTAGCTGGAGGGATGCTCATGTGTTACTGTGTCAGCAAATTATTATTCATTAACTCAAGTGAGCCAAGCCCACGTGTGTGTTTACCTGCTGCAGGTGCTGCTATCCTGATTTCTGAATTAGAGCAAGCCCTGAGGAGGAACACTGTTTTGATGTCCACGGGCTAACGTCTGGGTTAGTCTGTCTCTGAACTTCTTCATATGTGTGCTCAGGAGCTCCTGTGGGGAGCACACATATGAAAATGCATGATGCTCCTCTTGCATCAGCCAGTGGTAGGGGCAGAGGGAGAGTGCTGTCCAGAATACAAGAGTATTTCATTAGTGCCCTGTCTGTAGACTGACGTTGTCACCATGACAGCTAGCTGAAGAAACAGCAGCAAAACAAGGAGTTCACCAGCTTGTCAAAAGTTTTAGGTTTGGATGAGGTTTTGACAGACCCATCTCACAACTCCTCAGTAGCCCAGGCACTGTGCAGATTGTCCCTGGGCTCCTTCCTCCCTCTTCCCAGCCACCTGCCTGAGAGTCTATTCCCTTTGCAAGAGTAAGATGAAATGTTTTAGTCTGGGGTGGAAGGCAACTAGATTTCATAAGGGAATTACTGTTTTCTGCCTAGGCTCTGAATTTTGATCCTGGTTCTGCACACACATTTCATGTATTTCCCTGATAAGAGTTGAAGGTGCTCTAAAATTTACCAGGAACATTGTTTTGGGGTTCCAGTTATCCCAAGAAAAGCTCAGATAGAGTGATATGAATCAGAATAGTGTTCTGTTGCAAAGATGACTATAAGCTTCTGAATTCTTCCAGTTACATGGGGTAGTTGGTTTCAATCCATTATTAATGATTCCTGACACAGCATTTGATCTCCAGTTCCACAAAGTCCAAGACTGTTCAGATGAGCCTTTGGTCCTTACTCATCTCATTATGTGAGCTTCAGCCACTTGTGATGTGATATTAATGACCACTTAAAAATTCTGCTCATCTATGAATTAATGATATGGGTCCTCATTTAAAAAAGCAAGTGCAGTTCTAGGACACCGTCAGATTTGTGAGGACTCCAAAGCAGACTTTCATCGTGCACATAGCGTGAATGTTTGGTGCAAGCTAGGGTTTTGTATAAGAATTAGTGTTTTGATGTGTGTTCTGTGGAGGATGGCATTCATACATCAGTTTCTATGTCAAAAGGTATTAGGAGTCAGTGGGTCAACAGACACAGCCGCAGCTGGGGAGACGTAGTTTCAGCTTCTTGTCCCACCACAGAGTCATTCAGTGACCACTCAGCTTCTCATAGCTATTTAGGTTCCTAGCTCCCACTGATTTTGAAAGGTATTACACACCTCAGTATGCCTGAACATCTACTCTTTCAGTTGCTTTCCTGAAAGAGTCAGCAAATCAATGTTTTCATTCAAACTGCTCAAGTCCATAGTGGTCCTGTTACCAGAACGCAGCCCACAGATACTAGGATAGAGCACTGCATGCAGTCCTGCAAATGCAGACCTCCTGGGATGGCATATCTAGAGGCGGCTCTGTACCAGCAGCCAGGCTCTATCTCTGGGTAGTGTGCGTCCATGAGTCTGCATCTTCAGAAACCATGTTCTTACAATTCCTTAGCCTTGTATCAGCTGTGGGATGCTGCAGGGTACCGCTCATGCTGTTCCTGCCTGGTGAGATAAGGCTCCCATCAAAGTTCCAACTTGTTACAGAAAATCTCACACCACATGCAGTGCGTCAAGAAGCTTCCAGATTGTTTAGAGTTACAAGAGCAAAACTGTATCTGTATTTTCAGCAAATATCTTCTGATGTTTGCTGAAATGATATGTGAGCTTTAAAATAGAGGTTCTCAAAAGATGCCAGCAAAAAGAGCGGTCACTGTAAGACCAAGCTGGTGTTGTGGTTAAAGTGTCTTTGAGACTTCCAGACACAAATCTATCAGTGCAAGCCAAATAAGCAAAATGCCTGTAACTTTTCTGGTTAAAACACTTCCTCCTATTTGGCCTGCCTGTTTGTTTCATAGTTTTCAGCTGCATGTTTTCAGCTGCATACACAAAAACCTAGGAAGAACCTATTCTGGGTGACCATAAGATGCTGACCTGGACTTTGCTACTGGACTGATACCTGAAGGGAAAGATAAAATTTCACTTCTTTAATTAAGACCTCAGTTGGACTTTCAAATAGGAAATGATCTTTAGAACAACAATGCCAGTCAGAGTTGGTGGAACCTGCATCCTCTGTAGTGTCCCATGTGCTCCAAGAGAAAAAGTAAGGAACATCCCATTGTCCTGATTTACAGAAAAATATGTCTCTGGAAGAGATCAAATCTGCTTTTGCTGGCAAAAGTGACCCAGATATTTTTGTATCTAATCATGTTCCTTTTTATTTGTCATGATGTTTAGCCAGAGCTGTAGGTCAAACAAACGGCTTTGTGCTGTGCGCCAAATGTAGACTGATATGGAGCCTTTGAAGTAAGAAATCTGAGCTGCCTTCTCCCCACGGATTTTGGTCCTTCTGATAAGTGGATGCACAACTGACATACCACTCTTTGACCCATTTGTGAGCACTTCACTGCTGTATTAGCTTTATGGTAATCCTCAGAAATAAGGGGAATACTTACCAAAAGTATAGAAAACTTTGAATAGAGAAAGCAGGATAAAACAAGTTTTACAGATCAGTTTTAAGACAAAGCCTGTCCTTGGTGAGAGGTTTGGGACTTCACATCTGAGAAGACAAAATTCCTCTAGGTGAGCCCTGAGCTATAGAAACTGTGTTTGTATTTTACTTACACAGAATATAATTCTGACTGTGGGCTGGCAAAATGAAGCCCCAGAGATGGGGACCCCTTAAGTACATGCCTTTTTTAGTTCAACCAACCCATCCACATTCTTACATCTGGATTTTGAATGTTTGGGGTCCTTCTGGGAGAGGTTCAGTTTTATGTAAGGAACCTCTGTTTTTCACTGCAGGCTAGGATCAGAGGTGAGCTCATGACACAGAACTTAGATCTCAGGTCAAAAGTGAATATGTTGACATGGAGGAACCTGCACAGTTGAAGTTCAGCTTCTTACACAGATAAACGGATGTATGAATGGTCTGCAGCATTTGAATCCAGGTCTGGATATAATATTTTGAACCCTGTCTGAGTTGAGGGAATTGCAGTCAGAAAGGTCAGCTGTGTATCCTTGTCAAGCAAGGCTCCTGAATTACGTCACTGGAGAGATGCATGATATTTTTTTACTTGGGATATCCTTTAGGCTAACTTCAATGGAGACACATATGTGCAAAACCAGGCAAGCAGTTTAGCCCTTATAGTCTACTGATTCCCTGCTGCACAAGGACAACAAGCTGAAGTTTGTCAGCTCTTAAAGCATCTGGAGCAGGCAAGGAGGAGACAAACAGACAAATAAAACCCCACTTGAATCTAGACTATTCCCTTTAATATTAGTGGGCTCAAATCTGGTTGTGTCTATTATAACCAATTTGCATTAGGAACCTTTTACTCGGTTTTCTGCCATTAGAATAGCAGTAAGTACTTTAAGATCCTGGATCACTCTCACTGAGTTAGATAACTCAGAGTCATGCTGCACATGAATGTCTTAAGACTCCTCCATCATATGGATACCTTGGTTGATATACATATGGATGTATGGTTGATACATCCGGTCCCTTAGTTCACATCCACTATGTGGGCCTTGCTCGTTGTTGAATGTACCAGTCCAAGCTCAAGTACAGTGCTGTTTTGGGGCTGGAGGGTTGCACTTAATGAGGCTCATAGCTATCTCTGGTGATGGAGACAGAGTGATGGTAACAGTAAATCTCTGCACTGCAAGCGCATGAGGTATGGTAAGCCCTGCAGAAGAGCACAAAACTGGAGTTTGATTCAACACATTAGACTGGAATATGAAGCTACCACTTGTCCTAGAGAGCTCATGGTACTGAGTGCAGACCTGCTGCCTGCAGCCAGCGCACTACTGTACTCTGGTGCCTTCCATGCTGCTCTGGGCAGCCTCATCCCCATCCAGGAGATACCAGCATGGGGACTGTGGTAACCCCCCTGAGATGATGAGACTTCTGAATGATCTAGGTCAATGGACAAGCAGGGTAAGCTACTGCCATGAGATGGAAATTTTCTGAATACATTCTTACATGAACCACAACAATTGCATATACACAAAAAGGTGTGTGTACTCCAGTTGTGCAGGTCTGCAGATCTGTGAAAAATCTGATTTATTTTAAAAGTGACTGAACTTCTGTGAAAATGGTAATTT